GCACCACATCCCACACACAAACTACCCTCACCAGCCTCCCCCACAGGTGTGTTCTCTCCCTGCTGTTCTTGTCCCATATGTGAAACTCCTTAAGTTCGCTGATGACACCACCATCATTGGTCTGATCCTTAAGTCTGATTGGTCTGATGCTTAACAATACAGTAACTACTGTGGATCACTTCAGATTCTTAGGACCCACCTTTCCACACAATCTGAAGTGATCCTTGCATATAAACTCTTTCCAGAAGAAGGCCCTAAGTTGCCTCAGGAAGCTGCTGGTCATCTTCCATATTGCTATCATTTAGTCTGTACTGTGGACATCAGTCACTGGGCCAGACTGCAACAGGCAATCAGATCTGCAGATATGATCATCAGTGCTGATCTTGCCTCCATCCAGGACCTGTAGAGGTCCAGAATTAGGAAATCTCTGCAGACCGCTCACGTCCCGGACACGAACTGTTCAAACTGCTGCATTCAGGAGGCTCTGCAGACCGCTGTTTAGTAAAACAAGCCGCGCAAAGACAGTTTCTTCAAGCAGGCTGTTACTCTGAACACTGTGATATAACCCACTGTTACATCCCTCAGGCCATATGCACATTGCACGGCTCAGTTTTGCACTTATAGTTAAGTATAGTTTTCTAAGGCTTTCTGTAACTTGTTTTTTCTTACTTTGCTGGGCCAAATTTGGCTCCTGGGCCTCTAGTGTAATTAGTTCGAAAGTTACATATCTAAGATTACTTCCATTTCCAAGATTTTTGCACTAAATGTCTTTTTGAAGGTCAAAATAAATGTAAACTGTCCTGTCTTCTCATTACACTTGGCTAGTCTGGTTAGTTGAAAGGGTTTTTTTTATATTTTACCTGTTCAGGTTCAGTTGCAGTGTCCAGTGTGCAAAAAAAGAAAAAAAAAACATTAATTAAATGTGTTAAACCAAAAGCAATGAGTCTGTTTTAAAATGTAAGGAGTGAAAAAGACAGATATTTGCGTTAAAATGTAGGGAAGAAAAGTAAAAAGATGCTTTATTAGTTCCAACCTCTTTTCTGTGCTGTGCCTTTGTTACACTGTAAAAAAATTGTAATATAAAAGTATTTTACTGTGTATTTTACAGTTTTGTACTGTTTTTC